TTTTAGCTTTTGTGATTAATGCAGTATTGAACAAAGAAATGACATGCTCTGATTTTATTTCCATTTTTTAATATGTTCAGAAGGGCTATAGAAATTTTGTATGACAGTTCTATTTTGAGGCTTTCTTTCTTTCTATTTTTTTCAGATAGGACCACAGTGGCAGAACTCACTTATACTTCTAACAATGGTTTACCTACTTCTTTTCTTATCTGTATCCTACTCACTGTTTGCTTTTTTTTAAAATAGCCAACATGAACACATGAACTCTGGAATCAGATCTGTTTTATCTAATTAAGGATCCTCTTTCTGTATGTTGGGTGAACTTGAACTTGAAAAAATACTTCTTGAACCTAACTCATCTCATCCAAAAATACTTAAACAATTATATCTGTAGGTAGTATTTACAAAATTAATTTTACAAGTCTCTAATATTTGAACCATTGTAAACTGTAAAATTCAATGCCATGAAGAACATTTGCAGGACTTTGAAATAATCATTGCCATTTATTTTCACACTTTGCAGCACTTGGCCATATGCCTTATATGGAACCATCATTCATTCTGGTGCAAAGAATTATGGGTTGTGGAGATGATAATAATCTGTGTATTTTAATACTTGTGAGAGGTATCTGCAGTAAATACTATTTTGATTGTCATCTGAGATAATGAGTAATATCTATTTGGATGTAAAACAGCATTAAATGGTAAGGGATGTTAATAATAATAATGTTATTTCAGGCAATCTGTGAGGTGTTCTTATGTTTATGTTAAATTTTAACTTAATATCATTAAATGCATACTTCTCAGAGAGTGGTTCTCAACCTTGCTAATGGTGTAACCCTTTAATATAGTTCGCCATGTTGTGGTGATCCTAAATATTAAATTACTTTTGTTGCTAATTCAAAATTACAATTTTGCTACTGTTATGAAGAATAGTGCAAATAAGTCATATAGAAGATATCTGATATGTAACTCCTGACTCTTCAAAGTAGTCACAACCCACAGGGTAAAAATGACCTTTCAGGAGATTAATGATTAGAATGGCACAGATAATATTTGTTTGCCAAAACCTGATAAGACTCTGATGTAATATTTATCACTTTGGGGCACTTTTATCCCAGGGAATTCTTGACTCTGGAATTTTAAGTTCACCAAGATTTGAGTCCTACTAACATCTCACAGATAAAGCGAGTCAGAGATACTTTTAGACATTTTACAAAACCCATGAAAGAAACCCTCCCAAGGCAAAAACTTTTTTTCCTCATGCCAAATTACAAAAATACTGATAACACTTATCTGAGTTAATAATAAATTATTTTAATTATTTCATGGACTTGGAAGCAAGAACTACCAGGGTCTAGCAAAGGAGAAGGTGGGTTTGACTTGTAAAAATAAATGTAGCAGAAAACACTAGAAAAGAGATGAATTCAGTAAGTTCAGGCTTTGAAGAAGCATAATGTTGAGTAATAATAGCAATAAAGTGTAACTTAGTCTCAGAGAATCCAGCATCTATGACACTATGTTCAGGTTTGGATACCTATGCAGGTATCATACTTTAAAATATGTTTAAATTTTGAGTTTACATATAGTAATTGTTTATATAAATATTTATGTTTTAGTGCATAATATGATACTTCAACATATTTGTATAATATATACGTATAAAATGAGTAATTTGCATGTTGTGACATCAGACATATATTGTTGTGTGCCTTCTACACAGGTACTTTGAAGAGTTCAATTACATATTGTCAACAACTATAATACTGATATACAACATTTGAAAACTTTTAATTATCTGATCCTCTATACCCATTAATTATCATCTCTTCATAATAGTACAGACTTCACTGAAGTCTCCTTAGCTTATACATATGTGTTTTTCTTTGCTGGGTTTATTTCCTTCAATATAATGTTCTTTAATTCTGTCTATGTGGCCAGAAATGAAGAGATTTCATTCATGTGTAGTGTGCGATGTGGATGTACACATAATTCACACACACACACACACACACACACGTGTGTGTGTGTTAGAGGACAAGTTTAACTGTCTATTCTTATTGTCCATCTTGTTGAAAGATAGTCTTTTGTTATTTTATACTGTGTATCAGGATCCCTAGCCTGTAAGCTTCAGGGCATAACTGAATCTCTGGCTTGTATGTCATCAAAGGAGTACTTGGAATACCACAGCTTGTGGCATGTGTTCAGCATTTGCGCAGGTTGTGGCAATTCAACTAACAACACCATGTTTACCCATGCCCAAGTTTCATTCTCTTTATTAGGTGGTTGAAACACACACGCACATGCGTGCACACACACTTTTCCTATTTATACATGCATTAGCACATTATATACATTTCATATATTCTAAATAGGGTTACAATAAAGATAAAAGTAGATCTGTCTCTTGAACACCAATTTCTTTCTACATACCCGTCATCTTGAGATTTCTCAGCCAATGATATTCATGTCTTTTCCCATTAGGGGATTAGTTCATTGAGCATTTGCCACATGACATCATCCTTTGATTTCATTTTCACAGCAGTACTTGTGACTGTAGTCTTTGTCAAACATTTTGTGGATGAAGAGAATTATGTTAACTCATTATCCAAGATCACCCTGCTGCATCATAAATAAAGTGGCATCCAATCCTACTCTTGTCTAAGGCTGATGCAAATAATATTCTGTTTTTTTATTTAATTTTTTAATTTAATTTATTATTTTACATGTCGATCCCAGTTCCCCCTCCCTCCCTCCCTCTTACCCTCTCTGTCCCCTCACATGCACCCTGACCACCCTCCCCTCCCATCCCCCCACCCCAATTCCATATGTAGGGCAATGCCATCCAGGTGGGGTTATGTAGATCTGTCAGGTCATTTGAAGTGGGGACTATGACTTCTCTCCTGTCTCTAGGTTAAGGCAGTATCCCTCCATGGGGGATGTGTCCACAAGATCCTTTTGTGCACCAGGGATACATCCTGGTTCCACTGTCTGAGGTCCCTTAGACTGCTCAGTCCTTTTTCTGCTACAGTGTCTCATATTCTAGCTGCCTGGATAATTTCATCATTTTCAAAACTCACTCCAATATCTTTCTGTGTCTCTGTTGGTAGAATTGTATATACTCATGGTAACCTACCTCAATGTGGACATTCCTGAGGAAATACTTTCCCAAGTCAAGTGTGCAATAGCTCGTGGTTCTTGGTCTTCACACTTGACTACTTTATTCATGCTGTAAATCTATAACAGATAATTTAAATTAGCACATCTGTGTCATGGCATTCTTACACATCAAGACCTGCAGCTCATTTCTCAAAAAAACAAAACAAAACAAACAAAAAATCCAAAAAACAAAAAAACAAAAAAACAAAAACAAAAACAAAACAAAAAAAAAAACAAAAAAACAAAAACCAAAGTAATGAATAATTTATGGATAACTATCTTTACTATACCTCGCATTTCTGAAAATTATGTCTGTACCAGGCTTTCTTTTGGGCCACTGACCAGCTCCCAAATCATGACCCAGATATTTATGAATGTTCTGCCTTAGCTTAGGCTACTTTCTTGCTAGCTTTTATAACTCAACATATTTTCTTGTTTTTATTCATCTGGCTTTTGTCTTAAGGCTTTTTACCCTTTTTATATCTTACTTTCATTGTTTCTCATATCTGGGCAGTGGCTGCCTAGCTTCTGGCCTTGAGCATGTTCCTCCTTTTTATGCTCATTCTCACCTTCTCCTTCCTTCTGCCTGGATTTCTCTTCCTATTTATTTTCTCTGCCTGTCAAATGCTCATAGTTCTCCCCTGCCTAGCTATTGGCCATTCATCTTGTTATTAGACTTATCAGACGACATGGGCAAGCAAGGTAAAACAAATGTAGCACATTTTTACATCATTAACAATGGCAGCAGAAACAAATATAGCATACCTTTGCATAGTTAAAGTAATATTCCACAGCATAAACAATTTTAACCAATCTTGGCCTAGTTAAAATCATATTCCACAACATATGTCTGCTTTCACTAGGTCTGTTTTGACAGTGTCTGTATGTTTTGTAATCCTTAAATTTATACCATCAATTTTGCTCAGTTATAACTAATGAGAAATTGTTTCCTCTATATATTCTCTTCCAAGCATTTATGCAAGTGTCTTCTCTCTGGTTTATTGATTCACTAGATGCTGCAAAAGTATTTCTCCTTCCTGACCTCCCACTTCCTCACCACATCATCTCTTGAATGAAAGTTAGACTGAAGTCCAAGACTAAACTGCTATTTATAATTTGCACCCCTATGTTTTAACAAGAATCAATGGTAACTCTTTCTCATTTTCATACTGTCTGATGTGCATTTGTGTGTGTGTGTGTGTGTGTGTGTTTGTGTGTGCATGTGTGCATGTGTACATTCTTATATAGGAGGGTTTACTTGTGTAGGTGAGTACACATGCATAAGGAGGCATGTGTTTAATACTTGTAATCTTCCTCAGTGGTTCTTCACCTTCTATATTGATGCCTAATCTCTATACTGAACCCCAAGTTTGCCAAAATGGCTGATCTAGCTAACCAGCTTATTTAAATGAACTAATATCTTCACCTTTTAAGCAGGGGGAGACATTATAAACAATGGAATTGTAAGCAAAGTGCTACACCTACCTGGAATTTACATGGGCTTGGTGACCTAAACTTTTTGCAATAACATTTGCTGCTTATGTAGTATACATTTTAACTTCTGATCCATCTCCCAAGATTCAAATGGGTAGCATTTGATTGGTGTGTGGCAAATGATTTCCTTCACATATTCAAGATTTATACATTCTTCACCCATGTCTGGCAGACATTATTGATGAAACAAGGATTCACTCTCTTACTCACTGATTCTACCTGTGGCTGTGTAGCTCCTCTCAAGATGGTATTCCAGGCTGTCACTAAAACTTGAGAAAAGTGATTTGCCATCTTGGGTTTCTTCATATAAGTCTGATATTCCTTCAGTTATGCATTTCACAAAAGACATGGGTGATATGAATCAGTCAGAGTCCTCCAACTTCATCCTGGTGAGCCTCTTCAACACATCAAGTTCACATGAACTCATCTCACTGGTGGCTGCCATGTTTATCATTGGCCTTCTAGGAAACACCATTCTACTCTTCTTGATCCAGTTGGACTCCAGACTCCACACACCCATGTACTACCTGCTGAGTCAGCTTTCCCTCTTAGATGTTTGTTTCCCCCTGATCACCATTCCCAAGATGATATCAGAATTCCCTAAGAAAGAGAGCTTGATTTCCTTTGGAGGTTGTGCTGCACAAATATTTTTCCTGACCATGATGGGTGTGGCTGAAGGTGTCCTGCTGGCCCTCATGTCTTATGACCGCTTTGTGGCAGTGTGCCATCCCCTACAGTACCCTGTACTCATGAGACATCAAGTGTGCATGTTTATGGTGGCCTTTTCTTGGCTAGCAGGTGTGCTTAATGCCTCCATTCAGACATCCATTACTCTCAACTTTTCCTACTGTGCCTCTCGAGTGGTAGACCACTTTTTTTGTGAAGTTCCAGCCCTGCTGAAACTCTCCTGTTCAGATACCTCCATGTATGAGTTGGCACTATCCATTTCTGGTGTACTGATCCTTATGCTCCCCCTGTTGCTCATCATCACTTCATATGGTCACGTTTTGAGGGCTGTTCTAGACATGCATTCACAGGAAGCCCGGAATAAGGCTTTCACTACCTGCTCTTCACACATCACAGTAGTGGGGCTCTTTTATGGTGCTGCAGTGTTTATGTACATGATACCTGGTTCATATCACAGCCCATATCAGGACAACATGGTCTCCCTTTTCTACAGCCTCATCACCCCTACTCTTAACCCCATCATCTACTGTCTGAGAAACAGAGAGGTGCAGATTGCTTTCTTCAAATTTCTTAGCAAATTTAGAAACAGACAAAAATGATAATATATGAGAATTCTGGTGGTGCTTCATCCAACATGATTTCTAATTTTTTTTAACTGTGGTACAACTGCAATGCACTTATAATCAAAACTAATTGTCCTTTTCCTCAGTCCTGTTTCCTCTACAGTTCTGTGGGAAAAAAATAGCAAAGAAGTGTCAATCGCTTTTCCTTCATCATCTTTCTAGTAACAAAGTGTTTTTATAGATAAAAGTCCCAATTTTGTTAAGTTCATGTGTTATGTTTTTGAATTGATAATTTGAGCACTAAAATTAATATGCATTGACTAGTGGATCCACTAAGTATTTAGTTTGTGTTCATGATAGCTTTGAGATTTATGAACTATTACAATTTAGATTTAGGGGAAAAAAAGAGACACAAATGTATAAAGTAATTTCCCAGAGGTAACAAAGGAAAAAAATGGCATAGTGATAACTTGAAGTTGTAAGGCTTAAGAAAAATAAAGCCCATAGTCACTAGAATGTTTGATTGACTGACACATAGAGAACTGGTCAGTATAACAAATACACATGTGTATGTGAGTGTTCATGTGTATAGAGAAAGGCAATGTACATTGGATATTTTGATTTGACAATGTTTTCTATCCATCAGACTTTTAAAAATAAATTTATATTGAAAATTTAAACAATCTTATTTTATATACCAAGCCCAGTTCCCTCTCCCTCATGTCATCTCATCCTCCCAACAATTCTCCCGTGCATCACTCCATCCCCTCCTCAGGGAGAGTGAGGCTTCCCATGGGGGATCATCAAAGTCTGTCACATTATTTGGGGAAGGACTTATGTCTCACCCCTTGTATCTAGGCTAAGAGAGTATTTCTCCATAGGCACTGGGCTCCCAAAGCCCATTCATGCACTAGGGATAAATACTGGTTCCACTGGCAGAGACCCAATAGATTGCCCAGGCCTCCCACTGACACATAAGTTCAGGGGGCCTGGTTTGGGCCTATACTGGTTCCCCAGCTATCAGACTGTGTTCCTTGACTTGCTCAGGTGACTGTTTTTGTGGGTTTCCCAAGAACTATGTTGACCTATTTCCTCGTCTCTGCACCCTCTCTAAAACTGGATTCCAGGAGTTGGGCACAGTACTTAGCTGTGAATCTCTGCTTCTGCTTCTATCAGCTACTGGATGAAGGCTCTATGATGGCATTTAAGGTAGTCATCAATCTCATTATAGTGGAAGGGCATTTAAGGCAGTGTATCCACTATTGTTTAGATTCTTAGTTTGGGTCATCCTTGAGGCTCTCTGCCAGATTTCTCTTTAAACCTATAATGGCTCTCTCCATTAAAGAATCTCTTTTCTTGCACTTCTTCTCCATTCTTCTCCCAATTTGATCTTCCTAATCACTCATGTTCTCCAAGGCCTTTTCCTTGTCCTCTCCTCTTTCTCTTACCTCCCTCCTTCTCCCTACTTAGGGTCTTCCTTGTTTCCTAGCTTTTCTGGCAGTGTGGATGGTAGGCTGGAAATCCTTTGCTTTATGTCTAATATGTAGTTATGAGTGAGGACATACCACGTTTGTCTTTCTGTGTCAGGATTACCTCACTCAGGATGGTTTCTTCTAGTTCCATCCATTTGCCTAGAAATTTCAAGATTTCATTTTTTTCTCCATTGTGCAAATGTACCAAGTTTTCTTTATCCATTCTTTATTTGGGGTTCTTGGGGTTATGAAGATTGCTTCCAGGATCTGGCTATTACAAACAACACTGCTATGAGCATAGTTGAACAGATGTCATATATTTATATATGTATCTACACATATACACTTTTTTCTTATTTTATATATTGATCTAAGTACTCTCTCCCTCCCATGCCCCCCACCCCTTCTATCCCATCTCCCCCAACTTCACAGGGAGGGTGGTGTCTTCCAGAAGGGAACATCAAAATCTGTCAAGTCATTTGGAGTAGGGGCTAGACCCTCCCTCCTGCTTCTAGGCTAAGGGAGTATCCTTCCATGGGGAAGGTGTTCCAAAAACCATTCTGTGCAGCAGAAACACATCCTGGTTCCACTATCAGAGGTCACATAAACTGCCCAGGCCTTCTGAATGAGAACCATATTCAGAGGGTATGAGTCACTACAATGCTTGTTTCCCAGCTATCAGTCTGGGGGGTATATGAGCTCCCCCTTGTTCAGGTCAGCTGTCTCTGTGGGTTTCTGTAGCCTGGTCTTGACCCCTTTTCTTGTCACTCCTCCCTCGATACAACTGGATTCTAGGAGACTGGCACAGTGTTTAGCTGTGGGTGTTTGCTTCTGTTTCCATTGGCTATTAGATGAGGTCTGTACAATGACATATCAGTTAGTTATCAATCTCATTATCAGGGAAGAGCATTTAAGGTAGCCTTTCTACTGTTGCTCAGATTGTTGGTCAGGGTCATACTTTTAGGTCTCTGGACATTTCTCTAGAATCAGTTTTCTATTCAAACCTATAATGGCTCCCTTAATTATGGTATCTCTGTTTTATTGCTGTCATCTATTGGTCCCCCAACTCAAACTTCCTAGACCCACATATTCTTCTCTCTTCCCCTTCTCTTTCTCCTAACACCCTCTCAACTCACTCCAATATGCTCAGGAGATCTTGCTCCTTTGCCTTCTGTGAGGGACCTTGTATGAATCTCTAAGGTTCCTCCTTGTATCCTAGTTTATCTGGTGGTGTGAATTATAGGCTGGTTATCCTTTGCACTATGTCTAAAATCCATATATGAGTGAGTACATAGCATGTTTTAATTTTTGTGACTGGGTTACCTCACTCAGGATGGTTTCTTCAAGTTCCATAAATTTGCCTACAAATTTCAAGTTTCCATTTTTTTTCTGCTGAGTAGTACTTCATTGTGTAAATGTACCACATCATCTTTATCCATTCTTCATTTGAGGGCCATCTAGTGTGTTTCCAGGTTCTTGCTATTAAGAATAATGCTGCTATGAACATAATTGAATAGTTGTTATTGTTGCATGGTGGTGGATCATCTCAGTATTTGCCTAAGAGTGGAATTGCCAGGTCCTGTTGTAGACTGATTCCCATTTTCCTGAGTAACCATCATACAGGTCTCCATCTTTGTACAAGTTTGCACTCCAACCAGCAATGGAGGAGTGTTCCACTTTCTCCACATCTTCTCTAGCATAAACTGTCATTGGTGTTTCTAATTTTAGCCATTCTGACAGGAGTTAAGATGGTATCTCAGAGTTGTTTTGATTTGCATTTTCCTGATAGCTACGGATGTTGAATATTTTCTTAAGTGTCTTTTAGCCATTTTGGATTCCTTTGTTGAGACTTCTCTATTCAGTTCTTTACCCAACTTTTTTTTTCTAGCAATTTTTTAAAATTTATTTTATATAACAAAGTCCATTTAAATGAAAACAAACATTTATAGACAATATTTGGGAATTTGGGCGTTGTTCTTTCCAAACTACTTCCTGCTGGTAAGGGGCCCTGTCATGGGGGATTCGAAGAAGATTCAGAAATCCTGGCTGTAGTCTGTAAGGCTACTTTGTCCAGCTGTTTTGAATGTAGGACCATCGTACTCTGTTTCAGGCGGTCTGGCTTGATAAAACCACATTAGTCTGGAAGGAATCAACATCTTTTCATTTTCTGTGGAAACAAAAATAGAAATCCTTTTCCCCAGTAACTTGTCCTTCAACTTAAATTTTGGTGTCAGAGCATTTTTTTTTTAATTTAATTTATTATTTTACATGTGAATCCCAGTTCCCTCTCCCTCCCTCCACCCCAACCTCCCATCCTCCCTCCCTTCCTCCCTCCCTCCTTCCCTCCCTTTTACCCTCTCTGCCCTCTCACATGCACTCTAAACACCCTCCCTCCCATCCCCCCACCCCAATTCCATCTGTAGGGGAATGCCATCCAGTTGGGGTCATGTAGGTCTGACAGGTCATGTGAAGTAAGGACTAGGGCTTCTTTCCTGTCTCTAGATTAAGGCAGTTATCCCTTCATGGGAGATGTGTTTGCAAAGTTCTTTTGTGCACCAGGGATACATCCTGGTTCCACTGTCTGAGGTCCCTTAGACTGCTCAGTCCTTCTGGCTGAGACCCATATTCAGGGGGACCTGAGTCAGTCCCATGCTGGCTTCCCAGCTATCAGTCTAGTGGCCTTTAGCTCCTCCTTGTTCAGGTAAGCTGTCTGTATGTGTTTCTGCCCTGTCTGTACGTGTTTTTGCCGCATGGCCTTGTCCTCTCTATCTGCATCTGGGTTCTAGTTCGACTCAGTGTTTATGTATGGGTGTTTGATCCTGTTTTCAACAGGCATTAGTTGAGGGCTCCATGGAGAAGTTAGTTGTTGATCTCACTCTCCGGGAAGGGCATTTATGATAGCCTTTCCATGGAAGCTCAAATTGTTAGTTGGGAGCAGTCTTATAGTTCTCTAGACCTTTCTTTGTGTTCAATTTTATCTTCAAACCAATATTGGCTCCCTCTTTTATGTTCTCTCTCTCTGTCTCTCTGTCTCTGTCTCTGTCTCTCTCTCTCTCTCTTTCCTGGCTTCTATTCCTAACCAGGCTCAATCTTCCTGGTCCCACATGTTTTCCTTTCTTCCCCCTCCTTTCCTCCTACTTCACTCTCCATTTGCTGCCCCCACCACTGCCCCTGAGCTCTGGGGGACTTGTGCCTTCCCAGTTCTGTGAGAGACTTTATATGACTCTCTTAGAATACACCTTGTATCCTAGTTCCTCTGATGGTGTGAATTATAGGCTGGTGATCCTTTGATCTAGGTCTAAAATCCATATATGAGTGAGTACATACTGTGTTCCTCTTTTTGTGACTGGGTTACCTCATTCAGGATGGTTTCTTCAATTGCCATCCACTTGCCTGCGAATTTCAAGATACCATTATTTTTTTCTGCAGAGTAGTATTCCATTGTGTAGATGTGCCACATCTTCATTTACCATTATTCAATTAAGGGGCATCTAGGTTGCTTCCAGGTTCTTGCTATTACAAATAGTGCTGCTATGAACATAGTTGAACAGATGTCTTTGTTGC